GGGGGGGGGGGGGGGGCAGTAGTAAACGGGTCAAAATAAAGCTACCACGTGCAAGTGAAAGTTACTTATGGTTGCAGGAAAGGCTCAAAGCCCCATAAAAAATTCAGGCAAATACCATTTACCAACCTCAACATTAAGTTTAAAAAATTCATTAATAATTTATGAGGAAAAGACAAAGGTGGTCTTAATAAATGTGATAAAAAACCATGATCATTTACATAAAATTTAGCTTTGATTTTCTCGGCTTAGACAACGTTTACTTTTAAAATTACTTCGCCAATGAACTCGTACGATGGGCCGTTTTTTTTCCAGCCATTTTAAACACTCGCAGTTCGTGCTTTATCAGATATAAAACACTCGTGCTGCGCTCTCACTCTGCTCGTGTTTTAAATAGATAATTATGTACATAGATATTTTCATGTAATAGATCGGTGAAATAAAATCGTATCATCACGGCAGACGATATTTTTCGCATGTTAATTTATGGAGACCGGCGGTTTGATTGGTCGAACGATTTTTCTTACACGTGGTGAGTTATCGTCTCAGCGTTTTGATTGGCTAGTGCTTTAGCACTCATAGTTAGAGAGGTTCAGATATGACTTCAACTACCCGCCACTGCCGCCACATCAACTAAGGGATCATTAACCAATCAGATGCGTTTAATCTACACGACTAACCAATCAGATGCACACAGAGCAAGTGAGAGGTAGCGATAATGGTGGTCAAATCTGAGCCTCTCTGTTGTAAACATGGTCATGGCGCCCAGTTTTAGCGGAATCATCATTGTTCTTTTGCAAGACAACACACATCTCTGCCATTTGCTAAGACCAGATTTTGCCCACTAAAATACATTTCTATTTTGAAGCGCTTGGATTTATGTCATTTACCCTTGGTATTAATGGACATTTGCATTATAGACTAAATTTTGATCTAAACAAGTCTAGACAAAAATTTCATCACAGCTTGAAAGAGCATCACAAAATTAGTAATAGTCCAAAGTTTCGTTGCGAAATGTTGTAAAATGCGGATAATATAGCCTTGCGAAATTTGCAATTTTCAGTCATTTTGTATTACAAACGGGAAATTGATGCCCCAACACCCGATTGGGCTGTCAATTTCCCGTGCGTAATACAAAACGTAATACAAAATTAGATAGCTTAATATCTACGACGTCGACGTCAGCTAGGACGTCAGGGGCCTCAGGGCTAAGCAAAGGACTTGGGACTAGGACGTCGTCCTATATAAATAAACTTCCACTTAAGATTCACGACGTCGACATTTAAACTATAAATATTTACATTCTTTTGAAAATGAATTTTAAAGAGACACATGAATTCATAACCGTTTGCTATGCTCTTGTATCCACGACGGTAAAACTCTTGTTGTGAGGTTGTCCACATTTGGTGGACGACGAGCAAATTGAGAGAGACACATGCACACTTAAAAAAATATTGCCAATTTACTTCCGATTGCCACCCTAAAAATTTGACGTTGTTGATATTGAGCTATCTACTTATTTACAACGACATCCTAGTCCCAGTCCTCTGCTTAGCCCTTACGTCCTAGCTGACGTCGTATATCTTAAGCTATCTATTATCCGCATTTTACAACATTTCGCAACGAAACTTTGGAATATTACTAATTTTGTGATGCTCTTTCAAGCTGTGATGAAAATTTTTGTCTAGATCAAAATTTAGTCTATAATGCAAATGGTCCATTATGATCGCAAATAATTATATAATTTGGGCGTAGCTTTTAATATTGCGTTGAAAGGAAGGTAAAGTCCTAGGGCCGGATAACGCTATCTACTGGACAGTGACCCTTTTAACCTTGCTAAATTAAACTTTTAAATTATTTATAAATTAATGTTTATGTTTACTAATTATGAGGTCTATGTCCGTAGGTCTAAAGAGTTTCAAGCATTTTTACAATGGTTGAAAAAACCACTATCCTATGGATAGCGCTATCTGGCCTTCCTACAACCGGCCCCTGGTAACAGATGGTTTGGTTCGACCAGTTCGACAATAAAGAGAGATGACTTACTATGTATTGGGTCATCTTTTACTGGATAAAATTTACTTTTTATACAGCCTTCGATTGCTTTAAGAGCTTGTTTTAAGAACGACTCCGCCTGGAATGAAACATTTATAAATTGATATTAACCAACAAATAATTCGTGGTGTATGTAGGTATGACGTAATTGCTACAGACGATATAACATATGTATTGTCTGCAGATCTGGCGTATTTGGGATATAGATTAATGTCTCGCTGTTTATGAGTTAGGGTCAGCGGTTAGGGTTAGGGTCACCGGTTAGGGTAAGCATTCATAAATAGCGAGACATGAATATATAACCAACAGGTGGGAATTTTGTCTCCTCTGGTCAGTAAATTGCGGGCGCAGGCGGATTTTTTAAATCACGCGAATACGTTTCCCTCTCTCCAATTTAATACAGGGTGATTTATGGGGGTGAAGATTAGCACAATGAAATAAAAAAAATTAAAATATTTTAAAATTTTGCCGAGAGCCTCAAAACCAAATATGGTTTAAACTGCTCCTTAAAACATTAACTTTACATTGGTAGTTTGTATAGGTGATATATTGCATATTTAATACTTAATAAAACAATTAATGAATTCGGTTGTTGCATGATATATAAGGCTTTATTGAATTTCTACCTGTATAATTGTCGTTGCTTCTTCCTCAGCTAACAATATGTACGCGGAAGCAGAGCTAAATAACAAAACGTGGCAGCCATTAGTGAAAGGAGAACAAGTGCGCATTAAAGTGTGTCATGGATACCAGAATAGATTTCATTAAGAATATGACATGGTGGCATTAGTACTCCACATCTCATGATATAAAATTTAAAAAATATTGATATCGGTCATGTTTTCGCTCGCTACTCAGGTTATAGAGTAAATTCATGAATACAAAAGCTGGTCGAATACATTCACAACCCAACATTTCGACACTCCAGCAAAACCCCAGCCTAGTGTCCCAGCGTTCTCAGGGAACGAGGTTGCTGATTATATACTCGAGGAATGACGTCATCAGTGAACAAAACTCCGGATCAATGTCATCACCGCAACACAACTCTTTATAAATACTCCATGCAGGGATGATGTCATGGACCAACAAGTACCGTCGTCGTTTGACCCACATGATCAGCCAAAGCTGAATTAGAACGCGTTAAAGAGCAACCAACCTCGTGGTTGAAGAGAACTACCTTTTAACTTTAGACAAGGGGAAATAAAAATATATTATTTTTGTGGAGATGGTACCAGGAAAAGTTAAAACATTACTATTAAAATTATTTACAAAAGTATATTTTCTTACAATCATTATGAAAGCACTAATTTCACGAGCTCTGGAAAGCCACTGTATGCAAAATCTGGACTGGTGGCTTGTTAGAAAGGGGGGGGGGGGCTAAATAAAGGCTGGAGGCTAAATAAATTGTCACGTTCTTTAGCCCGAGAGTCCAGCCTAAAATAAAGTGTGTGATTGGCTGATTTGTGATCACGTGGCTTTATATAAATGCAATGTATTCCACCGGGCTTGTTGCCCGCCCCGACCGGCTACGTACATAAATAAACAACATGCCGGCACAATTCGCAAGTTTATAAACTACGATTTTCCAAGTCAGAATGTAAAAGAGAAGAAAAACACACAACAGGCAACAGAATATGCTGATGAAACCATTTATGTACTAGGTTCTTTTCATTTTAAACTCGTTTACACTATCGAGTTTTTGTCATGAAATACAATTGTTGTATGAATCGTTTTGTTTCCCCTCGAATCTCAAAGTTTCCCTGGACTTCGTCTCGGAGAGCAGACATTGAATATTATCCTGACAAGTGAATATTATCCTGATTGGAAGTCTTAATGACACGTACTTTCCTTCCTGTTGTAATGCGTTATGGGCTATTTCTATCCTCTTTTCTGCATTCCTTTCTCTCCAAGCTGAGAACATGACTTGAAAAAGAAAACAGTAGTACATATTCAATATATTCAACACGAATATATGAAACGACGTTTCAAACATAAGAATAAAAATCATATTGATATAATCACCAATATCTTTTTTCGAAAAGGCTAAATTTGTAAATACAAATATTTTTAACGTATTTTTCTTGGAAACAAACATTTCTGAACGTAAATCGCATTGAATACAAAGATAAAAACAAACATACTTGTATCAGATGGTACGCCACTTGATTCATCTCCCTCACAAGTAAAGAATTTCTGTAGGGGAATTAAAACCAACTATTAACTGATAGCAATACATACATGCATTAGCAAAGATTTTACCGGCATGGACGTTCTGGCATTAAAAAAAAATCCCAAGCAAATTGTTCAATCTGAACTAGCAAAAGATTGCACACAACAAATTAACATATATACAAGGTCATTTTGGAACAGAGTTTGGGCATCAAACACACTATTAGTAGTCTTGATACATTGAAGAATTCTTCTTTTTGCAGTTACTATATAGTGTATAGGTGGGTTTCACTCAAGACTTATACAATATAGGGAATCGCTTGGTTGTGGAAGTAACTAAATTTCGCTAAATTGCATATATTTGAACCAAACACAAGATCAATAATGAATATTTAATTAACTCGCTCCGATAAATGTGTTTCCATTTGGAGTTGACCACCAAGCGCTAAACGTACCACGTGACTGAAACCCAGCTAGACAATATATAACTATGAGGCTTGAGTTAGATTGTACACTGTACAGTATATGCAAACTGGCAAAACTATTTACAATTGGGATTGTGTTTCAGTTTTTGCATATACTGTGTTTCCCTTTTGAAACACTGATCATAGTGCCATAGGTACCATACATTGACAGCGTTCATAATAAATTATACCTGGTGATCCTGTGATGAAAGATTCATGTCATAAAACGTCAAAGGTTCTTTGCCAGTCACCCAAGTATATCTAAAAATACAACGCCCTTTATTCAGTTATATTCTTTGTATCTGCGGACAAAATAAGAACACTGCATCTGTCAGTACCTTTTCACCTTTAAATTTATTTAGACCGCTTTAAAGCGTAGAAACGCTCGTTTATACTCACGTCTTGTGTAAAGGCCACTAACCCTCGCGCCATACAAGTAACTGTATTGTAAAATGGATTATGTGGACAGGAAAAGCTAAGCTTGAAGTGCTTAAAAATTATTGTTGCTGTGCTGAAATGTTGTCAATAATCAAATAATCTTTTTATTTGCCACAATACTTTAATTCAATTTTTCCATTTTATGCACTTCTGATTCCTTTTGCACTGCTAACATAATACATTTTGAAGTAGCGTTAGCCCCAATGCCTAACACAATTACAGTACTGGCTGTGCGGGAGACTGCTTCGATTGGTAGTGTTCGAGCATGCGCTCATATTTTTGTAGTATCTCCCACAATAAATAGGTTGAAAACCTGTTTATAAAAAGTCCACTTGTTTCCTGATCTGTAGAAATAATCTTTTAACTATTTTATTGTCTAACAATTTTTGGGTTCAACACGAACCTAATTAATACCAAATTAACAAAAGGAAAGGAAAATCTATGGAAATAAGCTAATTAAAGTAATTAGAAATGCTCATCCAATGGTAATACTAAACTCCCACAATGATCAATACCCACCTCATATACCCAAGCTTTTGTGCTTGTTAATTTCAGAAGGCATGGGATACTCAAAACTGGACACCAAATTAAGTAACATTCTTGTTATGTCATGACTAACTACTAGGAGGAATAACATACCTTTGATATTCAGCTCCGCGAAACAGATTCATCGGATTTCTCCAGACTTTACATTCTAGAATGAAGATCAGATCGTTTAGTACTACCTTTTCATCCTGCATGTTACACGAGAATCATCACACACTTACAGAACCGGCCTCTGACGTTGCTACAAAATGCCCCTCATCAGGAATTTAGTAGTATAGGGGAAAGCAACTATTATTCTCAAATAACTTTTGCACCATTTTTATTTTATATTTGCTGAGCTATAAAATTAATTTAACGCTATGTTGAGAACAGGTTGCGGGGCATAATTATTTAACCAACGCCAATTAATAGATTGTCAGTAAAATCTAAAAAAGAAGTTGTTGACTTTCATACTACAATTTTCTTCTAAGAACGTAGGAGTAAGAAAGTTTGACCCAGAAAATTTTTTCGTTTAGTTCTTTTTTGTTGATCCATTGATTGGCTATGTGATCACTCATGGCATTACTCCATTACATACAGTATATACTGTATACATGATTTTGTGGTTAATGCTCAGCAACTAGATTCTGTAGCTCTGTTGGTTAGAGTGCTGCACCGGAATCGCAAGACCACAGGGCCTATCAGGGTGTTACTGTAACTCAGGGCCTTTTTTAAGGTTTTCCCATGGGAGGGGGGGGGGGACATTTTTTGAAAAGGGACCTTTCTGTGAGATAATAGGGAGCTTTAGATTTGACTACGAGTACGACTACGAGTACGAGATTTGATCGCGTGCGAGGAAATTACCGTAGTCGTTTTCGTTCCCATTCAAATGTTGCTTTTATAACAGTAAACCAACAACTAGAGAAAAAGTTTCATAAACTAAATCTCCTGCCGACTAAAATCCCCTACAAAACGTGTAAATAAGTCATAAGTCATAACATTAAAAACAGGCCAGATATTTAGTACTAATATATTATTTGCGCCGGATAAACGCTATATAAATGCTACAAATTATTTTTGGAAAACAAAAAAAAGCCAAATTTCTTTGTTTTTTTTTGAAAAGTCGTCGTGAGGACTACGAGGTTTCTCCACAATTCCGTACTCAGATGGGCGACGGCTACGACTTTTTAGCGTCAGTACGGGATGGCGTAAGCATACAGCATGCGTTTAGCTTGACGAATCTCGTACTCGTAGTCGTACTCGTAGTCAAATCTAAAGCTCCCTAATATATTAGAGGGGGATAGCAATGGCTGAAGGCCACGTGTGTGGCCAATATACCACGCATGATTGGGGGTCTGGGGAATCTTCGCTGGTTTGTTGTATAATTTTAGGAAAAGGGACTTTCCTGGGGGCAAAATGTAATTTCGTGGGGGGGGGGCACAAGGGGGGACATTTGCCCCCCCCCCAGCTTGTATGTTAAAAAAGGCCCTGCTGTAACTACAGTCACAAATTCGGCGTTACACGCTGTTTTCCCAATTACGTTTCGTTAGCAATTTCCCTATTTCCAAATCTTTGCGAAAGAAAAATTTGAGAGAATGCCATCCAGTTTAAAATATATATTTGTTTTAGTACGCAAAATAATGTCAGTTGACTGCACTTCAACTTAACTCAGCAAATCAGAGCCTTGTGCTAGGCCACTAGAATGTCGTTTACGAGACATTCAGACCAGAGTTATGTCGATTTTAGGTCACTTTCATGCAGAGAGCGATTCCCAAGTATGTTGAATTGTTGTGAATATTCCCAATTACGTGTCAAAATTTGGAATATTGGGCGTGAAAATTGCAAAGCCAACTTCACAAATTGCTTACCAAAGTACCGAAGAACTGAACTAAGTATCGAAAGTACTGAACATAAACACGTAATTTTGCAGCGTTTTGCTAATGTAGCCAATGAATTAAACATATTTCTTAAAAGCAGTAATAAAAAATTTGTCAAATATGTTGGCCATCATGTTTCGCTCGCTACTCTGGTTTAAATAAATGATTACAAAGCCCATGCAGTCGAATTGTAATCAAGACCAATGTGATGACCCAGTCGAATTGTAATCAAGACCCTGGGCTTTGTAATAATTTATTTAAACCAGAGTAGCGAGCGAAACATGATTGATATTTAACAAATATAAAACATTTTCCGTGTTGATATACAGTTATATCAACACGAGTGGAAATTGGGAAAACGAGAAATTGTGTGGAAACACGACGCCCGAAGGGCGGAGTGTTTTCACACAATTTCGAGTTTTCCCAACTTCCACGAGTGTTGATATAACTATATATCAATACGGAAAAAATGTTTTATATTTGTTTTATAATATAGCAATGTCAAAAGCCCGAAGAATAAGAACAATTTCCGTGTTACAAGCGGCGGAAAATTTCCCGTGTTGACATGGAGTTATATCAACACGGCTCTTAGCCAATCAGCGTTGAGAATTTACAAATGCTATATTATAAACCTGGTTGCAGTGAACGAACAAACTTTATATGTTGGCCATGTTAGTAAAACACTGCAAATGACGAGTTTATGTTCAGTACTTCGGTATTTTAGTTCAGTACTTCAGTAATTTAGTAAGCCGCAACTTGCGAAGTTGCAATTTTCACGCCCAATATTCCAAATTTTGAAACGTAATTGGGAATATTCACAACAAACTTTGGAATCGCGATTTGAAAAGTGAAATCGACAATAAGAAATGTTTCCTAATAGGAGACATGCCGTGGGATAACTGAATTAACCAATTTCATTAAGTTGGCTAACACGCTGCCTTTTCACAACTGCTCCTGGTTAAGGTGGCTCGATATAGTTATCACAAAAACTCTGCTCAAGAATCGCGAACTCAAAACCGGGTGACCATTTTTACGCGCACAAGTCGCGCAGGTCGCGGAAACTGATTAACAAAATGAAAGAACTTCCAAAATGACCTGACGTGAGCAGTTGCTCGCGCCATATCACGCCATTGCGCGTGTTCTATAGCGTTTTATGTCAATTGCTGACGTCATTAGAATTTTCCATTTGAGAAAAACAATGCGCTATATCTCTTTATTTTGTCTGGTGACCTATGTTGAAATTTTGCATGCTGTATTGCACTGCTAAAAACTTTCATTATACAAAAAATAAAAAAATTCTGTAATGCCAAAAAAAATTTACCGAAGAATATGACATTTTCGCATTTTCCAAAAAAATGGCATTACAGAATTTTTTTATATTTTGCTAATTGTTAGCTTTTCGTCCAAGTAACATAATGCACGAAAAAAAATTGGGGGTCACCATGCTTTTTTTCCAACTATACGAGACGATAGGTCATTTTGGAGTGAATTTCGTACACGTATGTCGTCATAGCAACGAACTATCTGTTACTAAAACTAATATAGTTTGAAAGTAGAGTTATCAAAATATATAAAAAACCCAATATCTGCTGAATAAATCCTAAAAATGCGTAGTTTGAACATGTCAAAGTGTTAAACACCTGAATTTTTGAAAACTGTATCGAGCCACCTTAAGTCTAAACATATTTGTCTAAATATGCATTCGAAGAGTTTATCTACAAAACCCATCCGTTAAAAGACTAACCTGCAATACTCTGATGAGGATGTGATGAACCGTCAGTGCCACTTAACCATGGTCCCAAATGATTCACTGATATTTGTTCAATAAATGACGTGCCGTATCGTTTAAAATACCACAGTTCAAATATCTAATAAAAATAGATTTATCTAGTATATAATTCAAGTAATTCAATAATTTTCCTGAAACCTTCCATTAGAATTAACTTACACTGAAAAATAGAAAATATTTGAATCGAATTCAAGGCTCATTAATATTCTTTAGAGATTGTGCAAAATTCATAACTTCAAAATATGTGTGCAAAAATGTATCATATTTTATATTTGAATGCTAAATATTGCTAAAGAGTCAGGATTCTAAATTGTGCGTGAACAAATTCAAAAGGTGCCTGCGAGCGACGCTCGTGCATTTTAATGATGCCTGATCGAATCATTTAAGTAACAAGCAAGTTCACAATCACTGATTAATGTAATACACGTACACCATTTGGAACCCAAATTTTGACTGCTTCTGTAACTTACTTACAAATTAGTTTAGGTACATTTAGGTGAGTGCTATAAATCCTTGCTATGCAACCATGCCCCCTTTCAAAACTTTGTGTTTTCTTAGCCTCTTCCGCAGGAATCTTGTGGTTCACCTGGGTTACTTGGGTTTAGAAAGTCTATTGTTCTACCCGCCAATCTTAAGGCGATGCATGTGGAGGAGGCCAGTGTTTTCTATGGTCTTTATAAAAGCTATTTCCTGCACTAAAATATAGTAGAAAGTGACAAGAGCTTCACTTGATATATGATTGTCATCCTGGCGTATGTAAACGACTGCTGACGGCAGTATTCCTGTTCATCAGTTTATAACATCTTTACACGATGTAAAGATGTCGTCAATATGACATCTTTACACGTATTTATTCATACATACGTCAGGATAAGAATCGTATACAACTAGTAGTATCGTGTAGATGGACCTTAAAGATCGGAAGGCATGCGCTCTTGGAACACATTTGTTTCTCAGCCCTCTATACCTCTACTCCCAAAACAATTTTTCATCGGTTTGTAAGAATTAGAAAAGAATGGAAACGTGCAGTCGTAAATCTTATTCCTTGCATTCAAAGATGCAGAATTTGATGAATAAAAATCATTTTCCTGAGATACTGTGAGATTTGTAAGTCCACCTGTGAGATTCGAAGACTCAATACATGGAGACTCACGAGTAACCATGAGACTTGGCAGCTCTGCAAGCAATGCCCCGTGAGAAAACAGTGAGAAATCAGGTTGAAGCACGATTCTGAATATTTTGGGCGGCATCGCTACTTGAACTTGTAATGACTGCATTCTACAACAGAATTCATTGATCAGCTCGTCTGAACAGGTACTTTTTTCAGGAAAATGTAATTTTTAATAATATAATTTTTTCAGAAAAATTAGATTATACCATTTAAGTAGTCTTAGCTCATCATAGTTTTATAAATTAACACTACATGCACTAACCTACATATACTGTAGTTAACCCACAATTTAAGATCAGTCTTAAAAGTTCAGAATGGTGTGGGTGATCTGCCAAGGAAGCGGATATTCATGAAGATTAAAGTGTCATCTTCAATATGACACTTTAATCTTCATCAAGGTAATACAGAAGCTAACTACAGTATAAGCACTTACCAAAATAACACCAGAAATAAACGAAGAAGTAGCAGTAAGTGCCACATAAAACTTGGGAGTTAATGCATTAAGAAAGGTTGTTGCTAAAAAAAAGTAAAACTATATGTTATAATTGTTTGTGTACACCGAGACCAGTGGCGGATAATTTTCAACCTGCCAAAGAGGCCTAAGTTATATGCAAATCTTTCAGAACATCAGTCACTTGATGAAATGATTAAGAGGCAATTTTTTTCAATGTCACGTATTTGCAATGAAAAGTGTTCAAAACTTAAAATCTTTTTGGCGTTCCTCTCAAAATTACTTTGTTTTAGCTTTATTCTCTAGTTTATACAGTTAGCTACCTTTTTAAATGCATCTGCCGGTTGAGAAACATAAAATAATAGTTAAAAATTGCCAATTAAAATACAATTATCAATGATGCTTTAAAATTGACGCCATATTTACAGTCATATAAGCAAAACTTACTGTAATACTGAACTTCAGACATCATTTTCTCTTTGGCGTATCATCTAAAATCTCTTCATTTTAGCATTATTTTACAGATAAAGCACTGGACATACTTTTAAATTTTGTTTGCCGATTGAGAAACGTATCGAAAAATAGAAATTTTGAATTTAGTCATAACCTCAAGCGATATATTATACGCATTAGTTTTGAGCGCGTGTTACGTGACATACAAAAAAAATCTCCTCTTAAAGAGTCCCCAGTTGTGCCATTTGACTAACATTAGATACTTTTTTAACATAATCAATTAAGCATGTTGATTAGCATTGTCGTTTAATGTACAGTTATAACTATCAATTCTAATGGTTCAAAACAAAACAGATTGTATGAAATGCGTCTGCTGTGGCATCATTGGCATGCATTGTACATGCAGAATCGTATAATCTTTAATCTAATACTCTTAAATCAGCTTACACTGTAGGAGATACTTATATATGTATATATGTATACCAGATGATCTTGATACGCGGAAAAGTACTGGCACTAGTTGTCAAATAGAAATCCATTTTATGATTAAAACAACTGAATATCTCCTGTAATATACTTTATTTCGATTCCATATTTTTGTCAGAGCTATAGTTCTTATAACCAAACATAATTACAAAATTTCAACTAGTTTCATAAAGAATAACGAAAGATATAATTGACTGAATACATCAAAATGGATTTCTATTCGGACAACCCTTTCTGAGCGCTGATTGGCTAAAATACGAACACGAGATCACCTGGTATACATTAACAAAATAACTATGAACTATATATATGAAAAAAAAAACCCTTTAAAATGTAAAAATGTACAATAAAAGTGTCCTGTCAAAATTACACTGCAGCACTTTTAAAGGCGTTGATATTCGCAGGCAGTTCGATAAAAGGGAGATTGTTCCAGGTTATAATAGTTCTTGGGAAAAATGAAAATATCATTGTTACAAGAAACTTGCTGAAAGGGATGACGATTTGGAAGTCGGGAATTTCTTTTTAGAGGGCACACTTCAGGGGGGGGAGTTTAAATCAACGCAGGCTTGGTGGATCTTGTAGAACATGCATACACGACCGGTTAAGCAGTCTACGCCGTTCAAGTGTGTCCCATCCTAAATTGTTGATCATTGGGGGAAACATGGCTGTATCCGGAAAAGTCGTTGTTAACAAATCATGCGGCGCGATGTTGAATCATTTCAATCTTCTCAGAATTCCGTTTAGTATGAGGGTTCCAGACGCAACTTGCGAATTCAAGCTTAGGGCGGACTAGACTGAGATAGGCTCTAGCTTTAACTGTAGGAGAGCAGCTTCCTAAGATGCGTTTAGGCAAGCCAAGGGTGGAATTAGCTTTTTTACAAATATTGTCACAATGTTCATTCCAGCGCAAGGTACTAGTAATGGTGACCCCTAAATATTTTGTAGAACTTCAGATAATTTGACCATTCAAACAGTAATTGTACATGTGAGGGATTCTCTTAGAGGTTATTCCCAGATGGTAACATTTGGACACATTGAGCAATCGGCCCAAGATGATAGACAGTCTAGATCGTTTGGTAGAATTTGATGATCCTGGTGGTTGTAAATTACTCTACATCGTCGAGATTAATTGGGTTTCACATGAGCGATTATTCCTAAAACCGTGTTGTTCATCAATTAGAATATTATTTGCAGAAAGATGTTTTGCCATGTGGCTGAGCACAATGTGTTCCATGATTTTACAACAAATACACGTTAACGAGATTGGCCGATAATTTGCTGGATTTGACTTACTGTTACTTTTGAATACAGCAGTGACAAGAGCTTGTGACCAGTCAGTTGGAATTGCGTTGTGATCGAAAGATTGCTGGCAGGGGCCGCGAACTGTTTTAAAAGTGAAAAAAGTGCCCTTTTTTCTGGGCCAAAGTGCCCCATTTAAAGAATGAAAAAAGTATTTCTTGAATGAACGCCCGCTTTTGCTGGAAAGAAAGTGCTCTTTTTGCAGTAGTAACGACTCTGTAAAGGTCATTTCCGACTTTATAGAGACTCCATATTTTCAAAAATTTTCGTTCGGCTCATGAACGACATAAAATCGTTTGATTTTGGTCATATACAAAAGTGCCCCTTTTGGCCAATGCCCCTCCACTTTCGAAATGCTTCCGCGGCCTCTGATGCTGGAAAATAAAGGCGAGCCACGGTGATACAGACTGAGGGATTTCCTTCAGAACTCTAGCTGGGATCTCATCTGGACCACATGCCTTTTGGGGATTTAAGTTGGATAGCTGCTTAGCGACACCATCCGGACTAATCTTCAGGTCAATGATGGGCTCGTATGGTGACTGGCCCATACTAGGAGATGGTAACTGTTCACGAGTAAAAACTGAGAAAAAATATGAAATTAAGGTTTCCGCTTTATCCTTATCTGAGATGCTGACAGTGCTGTTAGATTTTAATGGGGGGATTCCTATAGATTCAGATTTACTATTCTTGACATAGGACCAGAACTTTTTTGGATTCTCGGTCAAGCTGCTACCAATTATGTTATTAAGGTAGTTCTCGTGTGATTCTTTAATAAGCTTAGACACATGATTTCTTTGATATTTAAAGCTATTCCAAATTTCCAATGTTGCGTTTTCTTGGTCTGGACAGCCTTTTTATGGAGCCGATCTTTCCTACGCATTTCCCGTTTGATGTTAAGAGTTAACCATGGAAGATTAAATTTTGGTCGCGAGGACTTCTGGGGGATTTATTCCATCAGACAAAGCATGTTTAATTGATTTATTCCATCAGACAAAGCATTGTTTAAAAGTGATCCAGTTTTCCTCAACCGACCTATTTTCGGGGTTAGACGAGAAGAATGACGACGAATTCAGTATATTGCTTGCTATATTTCTAACTTAAGGCTGCTCTCCAGTTAAGCGTTTTTCAAACGCGCGTGTACGCTTACACGCACGGAAACTGACCGAGACCTGTAATTAGCTTCGAGACCATATAAGCTCACACAGTTGTTTAATTTATAGTTCAATAAAGACTATAATCATGATGCTTGTGATGTTACTTTGAGTGTGTATCACACCGGGCAAGCTTGAAAAATATGCCTGGCCACGGTGGGAATCGAACCTACGACCTTTGGAATACTAGCCCAATGCTCTGCCAATTGAGCTACGCGGTCAGGTCGGTTCGAGTGTGTGATATTTCAGAACAGAATCTAGTTCCTTCGATATCAATGTAATCTAGTAATCATGATTTTTTTCTGCGTTGATGTAATGTACTCAGGTGAATATGATGCTTGTGATGTTACTCTGAATTATTATTATTCAGAGTAACACTATAATCATTAACCCTGTCATTAACCCATTAATGCACCCTAAAAGCTGTTTTCCAGTTCCAAAATCTAATCACCAAATCCGGAGAGGGGGGGGGTACGTCAACGGGTTTTGTTCGAAAACAAAACGTCCCAAAAAAATTTTCCAAACACTACTTTGAGATAATGGGGGCTTAAAAATACTTTTTCAGTCTGAGACCTTTTTCGACCTCATTTTTTCAAAAATTCCTTAATATTTAACATGTTCCGCAATACCTGCATTCCGTGGCCCCCTCTGGGCAAGTTGGGCCCCCTTTTTACTTTTCTTTGGGGGGATATTAATCCATTAAGTAGTATTGCACCCCAATGCACCCTACTTTTAATGATTATTTCACTCTGTCTAATGGCAGACAATTTTACTTGTCAACGGGAGAGCACTGGCGCTCAATTGGTAACATTTTCTAAATGTTGGGTGAGTAATTTCCAAATGTTCTAGTCAGGAACAAGGCAGCCCGGTAAGCGGGATGAATTTCTCTTGTATTTATGAGAAAATTTCATCCCGTTTGCTGGGAAAATTTTGTTATTTTGATATTGTTTTGACAGTAAGTTGAAAATAGCTTGCAGCGATATCTTAAATTTGAACTTTCATCCCGGCAACCGGGCTAAGCTTGTGAGTGTTTATATGGAGAAATTTCCATCCCAGCAAGCGAGATCTCTCCTCTTTCAAGTGACATCTCGGCAACTGGGCCAGTCCGCTTGTCCATATAATGCACGGTAATTTTTACTAGAAAGATAACTACACAGCGAGATCTCGCTTACCGGGCTGTCTCACTTAGCAAGCCAGCCTGGCTTCCATATAAACATGCCCTAAACAATGACAGACTATATTTCACTCCAAGGTAAGCTATATTTCTCATAAATATGGGAAAATATAAAAGCTATATATAGCTTATTTTGTGATTCAGAACCTCACAAACAATATTTCTTGGCAGTCTTAGGGTCCTTTTCAAGACCAAAATGAAAGCAATTCTAGGCAAAAATTTTCCTAATCTACAAACAATTCAATTTTTCAATAGACCTTACCCCTTTTGAGTGAAATTTTGATCTAGACAAGTCTGGACAAAAATTTCATCACAGCTTGAAAGAGCATCACAAAATTAGTAATATTTCGAAGTTTCTTTGCGAAATGTTGTAAAATGCGGATAATATAGCCTTGCGAAGTTTGCCGTTTTTCAGTCATTTTGTATTACAAACGGGAAATTGATAATCAGATGATCAAACTGATGCAAAATGTTAGATTGTAATGCAAAATGACTGAAAAACGGCAAACTTTGCAAGGCTATATTATCCGCATTTTACAACATTTCGCAACGAAACTTTGGAATATTACTAATTTTGTGATGCTCTTTCAAGCTGTGATGAAATTGTTGCCCAGGCATATCTAGATCAAAATTTCACTCATAAGGGGAAAGGTCTATTGGCCATTACAATATATGCACCAAGATAACTTGTTGTGCACCGGACATGTCTGGTGCACAATGCTTCTATTCCATTCTGGATTTCACAAAAATAGTGATTATTTTCCTTCAGCTAGAAAATTGTGTGATTCTGCTGTATACTTTCACATAATCAGTTTCCTCAAGCATACAGTCATATAAAGTGAATGCATATACACAGTGCGACCAGACCTGTTGCTCCAATGTCACTCCAACTGTCTCATTAATCCATTCTGCCAAATGAACTAAATGAATCAACATCGCTCTTTGGCAGCTATTAGGTTCAGTGCATGAGAAGAGCGATGTCTGACACAGGCTTACTCTCGATTTCAATTTGCTTTTCAAAACTGACTTCCAATGTTTACTTGTAAATTCGGAATGTTTGTTGTAAAGTTCCGAAGTTTGTTTCGAAGTTCGTTACGATGATTCAATAGCAAGCGATTTGATTGGCTGGTTCACTTAACTAGCCAATTACAACTTACTAAGGCCCCGTTTACACTATACCGGATTGCTATCGGAGCGGGTCAAATTTTGTAGGTATCGAAAGGCTGTGATGATTTTTAATCTCAGAGACCCAAATAAACATGCCAATTCTGTCAAACTAATAAGCATTTGCTACTAACCATTGCTCCGTAACGGCAAAAGAAGATGTCGTGACCAGCGAATCCGGTATAGTGTAAACAGGGCCTAAACTTGATTATCGTAAATCATCGGAATGAACTTCGAAACAAACTTCGGAACTTTACAACGAACATTTCGAATTTACAAGTAAACATTGGAAGTCAGTTTTGAAAAGCAAACTGAAATCGAGAGTAACTTCTAGTTATATAAGAAAATATTTTTGACTGACCTTTACTCTGAGTATTCGTTCAGTGTAGACAGTTAGTATTGCACAACTGAGATATCGGGCACACAAATTTTATGCTTTCTATATATCTACTTTCTATATATCTACTTCTATACGTCTAAAATCTTTGGTGCGTGATTTGCAAACTTTCGAGTCAGGGTAATAATGCTTTCACAAAACTACAGTAAAAAATGAAAAATACAGACCAACTACCAACATTCATGACATGCTAGAAAATGATCTGAACATATTATTTTAATTTTTTTTGCTATTCTTCATCGAAAAAATTAGCGTTGAAAACATTTTGTCCTGTTAGCGGTACTGTCCGAAAAGTGAGCAACATACTGTACATATTATTAAATATATAATTATATCATAAATTCATAATTATATTGTATTAAATTTAATATACCTAAACACACGTTTTCTCTCAATTTCAAAGGATTTCTGAGAATATAGAGCAAAAAGATCATTGTTAGAAACCATACTCCCCAAAGATATGTCCATGACCATCCAATCCACTTCTTAACTTTCTTGATTTCCTTTTGATTTTCATCTTTTGACTCTCCGTTGACCGCCATATTGATTGTCTTTATGATTTGTACGTCATCTCGCCCTAGTCTCTGCGCGCCATCAGAAATCGACACGGATGTTCCGTTACGCAAAATTGAACTATCTGTCGCCAAAAGAAACGGCTCTCTCGGGGCCAGAATCAAGGTAACTAATTCTCGTTATATTACTTTTTATCAATTTTTATAACTAGTTACAGTTACAAGTTACCTTCCTAAAAAAGAACTAGTTACTGTTACTGAAAAATGTAATGACTTCACAGCACTGCATCTTCTGTGACTGCATGCTGAACCTCTTAATTGACCTCTATTGTTGCAGGCGGTCCGGAAAGAGGTGCATATCCTCAAAAGCAGGAAATACGCTTGTGCCAAGCCGGGCGACAGGAAGGTCGTTTTTTTAGTATGAACACTTTTCAGCTGCGCAGGTCGAGCGAACGTGTTTGAAAATGCGTGGTGCGTTTTTCACGTACGATTTCATACCAAACCGTCATGAAAGTGAAGTAACTTTGTGATAATGCAGATGATTGACACGAAAAGGACGACGATTTAACAAAACCGTTAGAACAGGAGTGTCACTAGCTAGACAACGGCAGAAATGTTTTCTTATAACGCGAGTGTTTTTACAGCGTGATAAAATTGGTTTGCATAACCAATTTTATCACGCTGTAAAAACACTCGCGTTATAAGAAAACATTTCTGCCGAGTGTTTTTACAGCGTGATAAAATTGGTTATGCAGAATACAAAATTATCTCAACTTTTGTCACGCAGGCAAAAATATACTTTTTGAAAATAGAATGATGATTGGACACACACACAGTTCTTGTATTTATTAGTTCCAAAATGCTTTAAAGTTATATTAGGTATAGCCTTGCTACTAGTCGACCCGATATACACTAGATAATGCATCTAATTATTCTGCAATTCAAAAATTGAAGCCGTGATTGCAGACTCAGGATATAATCTTAAACATTAAGTTAAACCTATTCCAAATACATTTTTAAATTATTCAAATGATGAAAGTTATTGTTGTTTTTAAGCGTTTATTAGCTAGTGGGAAACTCCAACATGGCCGACATCTATTCAAATGGGGGTAACCGGTGGAATATTCTTGGCTTCAATTTTACTAAAAGAGATGCGCTATTTAGTTTATATAATCGATTGCTAATTGACTTTCGCAAATTCCTTACTCTTCAAGAAATAACTTCCTTGAAAATTCCTTCGCCTATATTAGGTACTTAGTTAAGCACCCGAAAGTTAGACTTAAGAAGAAATTCAAAGCCCGAGTACATAATTCCTTAATAAATAATGGATGTCATACGCAGTGACACGATATATATATATATATATATATATATATAGTGTTCAAATAGTGGTATCCAGTCCTACAAGCTGAGCGCTGATTTCCCACAATTTCTTGGCTACTTCGTCATCTTGAGCTCCTCTTGATGGCTCCTTCACTTTACAATCAGCAAAATACAAGCCACTCACACCTTCGACCTCCTCACAAACTGCCAAATGAATATTTGTTTGCGCTCCTTCCGTGGGAGTCTTGAAAAATAGAAACATAATTCGCATAGCTATTGACTCGATCGTGCCAAGATTGCGTTGTAGCTCAGTTTGGATTGCACCGGGATGAAGTGAATTGGCTGTTACACCAGTGCCTTCCAAACGCTTTGCCAACTCTCTCGCGAACAGGACAATTGCCAGTTTACTTTGACCATATGCATCCCATTTTCTATAATACTTCTCACTGTTAATATTATCAAAGTTGAAAGATGAAGACGTTGTCTGGGAATGCGCCGAAGACGACACCAGAACAATACGGGACGGCTGAGATGATTTTAATAGGTCAATAAGTAAGTTTGTGAGCAAGAAATGTCCAAGGTGGTTCACTCCCATCTGCATTTCAAAGTCATCTTGGGTCTTCTGAAGCTCTGATGGAACCATCACTCCAGCATTGTTGATCAAGACATGTAACTCAGGCTCGGTCTTGTTGATATCTTCTGCCAATGCACGGACAGACGCGAGGGATGCAAGGTCAAGCTGTTTTAAAACCAACTTGGAACTGCCGGTCTTCTCAGCGACATCATTTAAAGCATCTTCTCCTCTCTTCATATCACGACACGCCATGATTACTCGAGCACCTCGTCTTGCTAAATCTATCGCAGTTTCTTTACCAATGCCAGCATTAGCACCTGTGATGAGGACTGTCTTCCCGTCCATCCTTGCCTGACTTGCACAAACACCGCCGCCAATATATCTTCGAAACATATTGTATACAACTGAGACAGAAGCTACACCAGCAACAGTAGCTATTTTAATTAACGCCCGACTGATTCCGAAAGCTTTTCAGTTTAATTAGTGCGATATTTGCACTCCATCTCAATATGTCATTTATATGTGTATTTTGTAACTATGATCCTCAACCAATCACCTTTGTCAGATGTATATTCGCATAGAATACGATATTAGTTTGACCTCGACCTCGGATAGAGACACGCAAAACTAAGTCTGTTTTCCACTTCAATCGTCTCGTACGGAAATTAGCTCATTCTTTTCATGTAAAGTCACAGGAGGCCCAATAGAAATAGTGATAATAGGCATAGAAATTACTAAAATAGTTTAAAATTCAATAACATTTCATTGTGTTACCGTAAAAATATTCTGCTAATTGTTTTTGTAGCCATGCATGCGACGCTCAATCTCTGATTCGCAGTGGCGTAGTGACGTATATTAGTCTAAAAGACTATATTTATTGGCGACTGAAATGTTGTCGGCAAATGCGATACTACACCCCCCCCGCCCAACCCTTCTTTTGCCTCTTCGCTACGGCCCTGATTGGAGACGAACGAATGCATGTTTTTGTCAATATTTTACTTCAGCAGAAATAACATTACTCAAGGTGTGCTATAGTTTTCTTGGATCAGTTGGTTTGATCGATGTTATCCTAGTCTCTTATCCAAGAAAGTAATGCTGGACGCACCTTCCAATTGGTTTGTTTAAAGTCTGACTGTCACTGATGCAGTTACATGTCTTTCAGTAATTTTTCTATTCTTTATCATCGATGTTAAAATTGGCACTACGGTGATTGTCATCTTCGCTCTCATTGTTCAATTTGCCATGTTTTCCAGCACTGGTAATCTTTCACTTTTGACATTCAATAGATTTCTTTTGTTTATGACAAGTTGACAACGAGAAGAAAGTGTCTGGTTTGGATACCTCGGATCTCTGCAGGATTGATAACTGTATTTTCAGGATACTCTTTCGTCAAAGTTACCTTCCAGAAAGGATTTGAGAAAGCGAGCTACATAGGCAACGCATATTACACAGTATTAATAATAGTGATAATTAAGTGTTCTAAACTTGCACATGTTTAAGCAAGTCACTGAAGCCAGTGACAAGCGTAAAGTCGATGCACAAAATGCAGCCCCAAGCTTTAAAAGGAAATTACTCAAGTGAGAATATCGTTTGTTCATACGTTCACTGATCGTGAACTCAAGTGACACTTTTTTGATATTGTATTCCAGTGATGTTATTATCTATACACCCAACCAAAGAATCCAGACAGACGTCTTCATTTCGATATAAAATCACTTGGTTTTATTTAGTCTCGGTGTTCAATGCCCTGCTATTGGTCCTCTCGTTACTATAAAACCATCAAGACAAGTTAACAAATTTGAAATTATGCCGCTTTACTCTGAACCTTCTGCTGTTCCTTTGAACAAGTGGGTTGCTGGCCGGATTTGATCGATGGATTACTGACTAAAGTTACTGTACGACATGCTCCTATAATCGCTCTGATCTTTAAAGGTATTGCTACAATCCAGGCCAAAACCGTTTTGGACAGTACAAAATTGTAGCAATTTATATATGACTGATACATTTGGAAATTGATTACATGAAGTAAAACATCTGTCAAGCCCCCACCCCCCGTTCTCAATGTTGCATCCCAATAATGGCAATATAATGCAGACGGAGTTGCCGATGCGAAAACGATTTATTAAACACTGTTTTGGGGAGAGTGGGGGCATGAATTATACCATTAAATTCATCCTCAACGCATTGAGCCCAACTGTCCGGATGGTTTTGGCTTGGATTGTAGCTTAAGGGGAGGGTCTACCCAAACTTGAGAATCGCTACTAGCTATCTTTAAAGGGTCTGTTGTGGCAATACTTTTTAAAAACCATATGGGAAACTATATATCAGGAGAAAGCTAATGGAATGAAGATTCTAAAAAAATATATTTAAGGTGGCTACAATGCGTTGCCATTGGCAACCAGGTGGTTAAAGTGGCTACATGCTGTTTTTCGACAGACTGAAGTTGAAAAAAAATATCTTGCCAGGGGCAAATTCAAATCACCCCATTTTTTAATAATAGACATAGCACTTAGTAATTGTGGGGATGAGTTGAGGATTTTTGAAAATTTTAAATATTTCACTAGAAACAAAGGGTTAAAGTTAGCGCATAAATATACTAGGTATTTTTATGCAATAACTCTGGTTAAAAACTAAATATGAAAAAATCCTCAACTCATCCCCAACAACATAGTAAGATGCATAAATCCTGAAAATTTCAGATCAATTGGTCATATTGTTCTAGAGATATCCTTTTTCAACCTGCGAAATAGGTGATTTTGAGAAAACGGCATTTAAAGTTTCGGTTATTTGTGATGTCTATGAATTAATGTCTAATGTACTCAAATCCATGACCAAAGTCTTTCTGGATGTACTTAAAAGGCACCAGCTTGATATGTGGTAACATCTGTCTTTCTTAAAGCTTCTTCCCTTCTTACACAAATAATTTTCTCCCCTTGACGTCACTTTTTCTCTTTTTCAGTTGCTCGCACATCAGCATGCTCACACGTTTTCTATCCTTTGAAGCCGAACGTTTGCTTGTATATTCCCCACCTGGAATTAACAGCTTTTTCATTATATGCAGTGTATTGGCAGCTCCACAAAATGCTGGATAGTGTAACCAATCCTTCATAGCCAACAACCAATTTCGATTGAACTGTAAACCATCCGTCGATTTACATCATAAGATCACCCCCTTCGCGATACACTATCAGATGTATCTAAGACCTCAACATTTTTACACGAAACACATTCCATGTTCAGGCTTGACATAAACCCCTGTTTCCTTCCTTCTTCAAGTAACAGGTTTCCTATGTGAAAGTTTTGAAAAATTTCTAGTGAGATATAATAGCATAATATTTGGGCAGTACACACACATGACATGATGACAGTATGTAGTGGTATTTATTGGTCCACTGGGCAAGCAGAAATTTGTAGTAAAACTGCATTCTACAACTAAGAGATTGTTTCAAATTTTACCAAAAGTATTTTACAAGTTAGAAACAAAATCATGAAGCCTACCTTTTCGACATTTATGAATATCAAAGACAGCAGATGACAGCTGTTGAATGTCAACAAGTCTGTATCAGTGTATCACTGTATGCAGAGGTTTGGTCGGCAATTCTTTCTTCTATAGCATCTTTTGGGGGTACCAAGGCAGCTATGCTGACTCAATTTCCATCTTCATGCATTAATGAGTGTTGGAGTTCCTTCTAATTGAGGTGTAGTTGCACCTTTATCGGCAAGCGTGTCACCCAAGTCAGACCTCTGTGAATCAGAATCACTATCAACATCTTGATCACCCAAGGACGATTGATTGTCCTCAGACGCTTGCTTTTACAGACCAACACAGCCAACTCTTTTACGATAGACACTTCTCTTTCTTTTACTAATCATTTGACTAACTAGAACGCTTTTATAACATCACCAGAAAATATTTCAACTTGCTGTTGGGTGAGCTCGCTTTTCAAGAAACCACAATGCGCTAGACAATGCATTGTTTTGAAGTAACAGCCGCTGAACAGAGAGTTTGCAGACCCTTCTTGACTGTTCTCTTCAATTTTTAGCAAACATGACATATTACACCAAAAAACAATGAAAATTTTAAAAAATACCATGCCGTTGCCATAGTAACGCATGCAAATTTTAAATACACAGTCATAAAATGTTGAAAAAAACACAAAATCCGTGAGAAATACTCCCCAATTTTTTGGCAGTGGTTAAATGAAGATCTAAACTTATGTTTTAACCCAAAAAAAAATAATTCAATTTTCCGTCACTGTTTGGGTAGACCCTCCCCTTAATTAGGGAACAAAATGAACATTTCAACTCAGTAAAATTTGTAAATCTTTCGATTAGTTCTCTTGGTGTTTTCAGTAAAGAATGTTCTACATTCATAGAAATGCTTAATGATTTTGGTTTTCAAAAGCAACATCAGAATTACTGTATTAGAAGAATGGCGACGATTGCAATCCGAACAACGTATTATATATTTTGTTGTCGAAACAAGGAATGGATGAATCCGGAACTGTTAAGTGTTTAAACGTTGTACTGTCATTTTGTTATCTTAATAGTATAATTTTTGCATATATAATCAGTGATTTAAGTAGCCAGTTGTAAATTACCTGATATAAGTGAGATTTGCAATTGTATATATAAGCTAAATATCCATTTAATAAAGTTTTCATTATTATTATTATTATTATTAACACTTGAAAACAAATGTATTTATATACTTGAACTTACCGTCGGATTTGAATCTAATCTCCTCACTAATGCAACTCGAAAAAGACAAAAATATCAAGATCTAATTAACGAACAGCTCAAAAATTATGAAAAAGTAAAATTTGTAAATTTATCGATTAGCTCATTAGGAGTTTTCAGCCACCCGTCGCTAGATTTCACCGAAATGCTGAAGGATCTAAAGTTTGATGAACAATGTAGAAAGTACTATGTTCGGAAAATTATTAACATATGTATCAGGTCCTCGTATTATATATTCTGTAAGCGTAACAAAGAATGGGATAACCCACAACTAATGTCATACTAATATTGTTATTATGTAGAGCGTTAATTCAAGTAGACACTGGTAAACTACCTGTAAAGAGAGGTTTATCATTGTAGTGTGTATATATATTATTGAAAGTAATAAAGTTTCCATTAT